ACAATCATCAAGAAAAAGCTGAAAATGAAGCCGTACAAGAAGAACAAATCTCAATTACTATCAGCTGCCCATTGGATTACTCAGTCTGGAGTGTTCATGAAGCCAGGGCGTGTGCAAAACCACATAAAAATATCGAAAGTTTGAAGAAGGCGCTCATCAAAGCATGGAATACCCTCGATGATGCCTATTTGCTCGCCACGGTCAACGCGTTTACCAAACGTTTGCAGGCCCGTCTGAATGCCGATGGAGGCAAATTTGAATTTAATTGTTAATTTGTTACTGTTATATGTTGAATAAAGATATTTAAGTTAACTTTTCGAGACTTTTGGGTTGCATGGGTTGCATATTTGGTTAAAAGCCAGGTCTTTTTTGTGTTGCGGTAATTCTTGGTCACCCTGTATAGATCCTGCAGACTTTGTGGATTTTAATTTTTTCTTATAAAAGCTTATCAAAATCACTTTTCAGGCTTGCGAGCTTGGCAATCCGTACTTCAATATGATCTCATCAGTGTTCTCCTTTTTCATCCCATGTCTAGCAATGATTGGTTGGTTAGATTGATGAGAAATGATTTCAAATCATTGATTATTTTATTAAAATCTTCAATTCAGTTCTCTATACAATCATCTTCCGACGGCTGAGGCAAAGAGAGCGCGCGAGGACGTTAAGACAAGCTTCAAAGGTGGATTTAGAAGTTTCTGATCGTGTTTCTGATTCTGATTCTGTTTCAAATTCAAATCTAGCATTAGAATTACTTTCTGGTTTAGATTAGGCTTTAATTTCTCTTTAATTTCTTTATTTTACTTGATTCTAAACTAAGATAATTAGTCAATTGACTCCTGGAACAATTTAAATCCAATTTTGAATCCATTTTAGCAGAACTTAGCTAACAGTTTTAGCCATAAATTACTGTTTCAATTAAAAACCATTGCTTATTAGATTCTAAGTTTATTATATTTCTAAATGTTCATTTCCAGGCCGACTCAGATCACATTTCGAACGCTCTTTTGAGTCAATCGGCTCGTTTCGCTCGCCAAATGGGCACCCACTTCAAGCAGAAAGCTGATCAAATTTTGCTAGAGATCAGTTTTCAGGTAAATATTTAATTTCTGACATTTCTGACGTAGTCGGAAAGTTTTCCAGAAATAAATCCACGAATTGAATCAAAGTCAAAGTCGTGGCTGAGTCCAGAATTGGGAATTCAATTCAAATCGACCGGGAATAAGGAAATGCCCAAAAATTGTTACAGAAAACAAACAAATGCAGAGATTTCGAAAAAGTAAAGGAAAAAGTAAACTTTTAGACTTCTTCATATCCAACGAATTCCGATTCAAGTGATGAAGGGTCGATGACGAGTCCATCGAGTCCCGAAGACTTGGAGGTGCCATTACCCACTCCTGAATCTCATGTGTCAATAAAAGTAAGCAAAAAAAGATAAACCTAACAAAAATGTCATCAAAAACAATCAATCTGTCAATATTCTTTAAAAATTGCTCGGATTTATGCAACAAAAGAAAGAAAAGAACGATTTTTGTGAATCTTTCCAGCAAACTCAGCTTTTTTCACAAAAAAAGTGCTATAATAAACGTATTTTAAAAAGAAAAATAGAAATAATAGTGAGAATTGATGATTCTAAATTTAAAATTTAGTTGCCAGTTGAAGAAAAAACGAGTCTCATTCGCTGCACGGACACAACAATCGGTTTGAGGAAATTATCGGCTCCTGAGCTGAAATCTTCTATAAAAAGTGGGTATTTTATAAATTCATTGAAAATCTTATATCTAATCTTTTAGATTCTCCATCTCTGACTTTCAAGCAGTCACCAACTAAAGAAGAGCTGCAACGACTTCAGGAAAGTCTTCAAGAAATGCACACTCGGTATGAATCGAGTGCCGCTTTAACATTAAGGTAGTTTTAAACAGAAATTCAAGTTTATCAATCAAAAGTTTAGATCATTTGGTGAAGAAATCGGTGAACTTTTCCCATTCATAGATAGCGGGAATCACAGCAGGAAAACCTCATCAAGTCACGATGAGGCATTGCAAGTGAACAAGAAGAGGATAAGGAGATCGAGACGGGATGTGAGTTCTTTGGTTTTGTTGGAAAAGTGGCTATGATTAGCTTGTAAAATTTAGAAATTCTGGCTATTCAATTAACCTATCAATAACTGATTTTGTTTTTTTTAATTAGCCCCGAATCGCTATGGGAAAATTCTAAATCGAACTTAATTCCATCTTTATTTTATCTACAGTTTCTCGAAGATCGTTCTAAACTTTTTTGAAATCAAGTATAGCAGTTTGTAGTCAAACTCTATAAGAATAAACAAAAGAAAGAGCTAGTGAAAGTGAATTGGTTTTAAGAGATGAAATTTCCATGTCGATGGAATGAATTTCTTTAGCTTGAAGTTTATGATTAGCTGATGATCAGCCTGACTTAACACGTTTTAGCTGAAGACCAGCCTGACTTAACACGTTTTAGCTGATTGTGATTAGCTGATGATCAATCTGACTTAACAATAACGCGTTTAAAAGAATTTCCTCACTATAAACTTCAGCTCAATTCTGAGATTCTCATTTCAGACAAGTACGGGTATTTCTCGAGCCAACGGTGGATCGATGAGAGAAAATCGAACGCCGACTTTCACCAAAAATGGTGACATTTCGAAAGTTCCTACGGTGAACACAGCCACTTCAACAACCCAAGATGCCATTGATGCAAATGGAATTCACAAAAATCATTTACATCCAAAGGTGGAAATCGATTTTCTTTCAAAATATCAAAGTTTTAGATTCATATCCCGATGGAGAGACTCAATCTGAGTAATGGAACGAGTGGGAACTCATTGTCCGAGTGCGCCATCACGACAAAGGGAGCCTCGACCGAGATGACTTTTGGGGAGAATATGCGAAGCTACAAGAATGAGCTGTGGAAGAGGTAAAGATTTAAGATTTAGTATCGTAATGTGTTTCGTTTTAAAATCCTATCATCACTTGCAAGTAGAAGCTTTTCTTGAATTCCCAGTCAAATCCACAGTTACTTACTTACTGGATTACTGGAGTTACTTACTGGAGAAGGGGTTATGGTAATAAAAAGAAAATGTATACAATACTGGACAATGAAATATTATATTTGAATAACGATCGTCACTTTTGCACGCCTGTAACTCCCTTTTCTTTACCGTATTTCTAAATATTAATATTACCATTGTGTAGCCCTTGAAAAGAGCTTTCAGAAAATGTATAACACTAATAGTTTAAACTCAAAGACAAGGGAGTTACAGACGCGCGAAAGTGACAATCGTTTTTTAAATAGGATATTTCATTGTCCAGTGCTGTAGGCGTGGAAATTTCGATCTAATACTCAAATTCTAGAGTGACAGCTGGTTGGAAAGCTCGCCCCTCCCGTCACCTCGTCAAAAAGGCCACCAAACAGATGAAGAGAGAGCAAAAAGCGACAGTGACTCTAGCTGTTGTGCTTGGTAAGGAAATATTCAAATTGCCGATTCAATTACCCAATTTCAGCTGTTTTCCTTTTCTGTTGGCTTCCGTTTTTCACGTTGCACTTAGTGAATTCCCTGTGTGCGATCAATTCGTCAAAAGGAGAGGGTTGCATTCCGAATATGGCCATGTTTTTCACCACTTGGCTTGGATAGTGAGTTTTAAAGTCGAATTGTAAAATGTAAATGAAGCTGAGGATCTCAAATATGAAATATCTCAAATAAAGCTTTAACATTACCAATTTTCTAGCCCTGCTTGGGGTTATATTCCTTAGATTTTACTATAAACAAGTTTGCATGGGGAGTTTCCTCGAGTTTCAGGTGAGTCAGCATCAGGAGTGCCTAATCCACGGCCTGAACAGGCATGTAAACATATAAGCTGGTTAATTTTTAACCTAAGTACTGGACAAGGACAGGAAATGGCTTCAGCCTACTCCTACAATTGTTTCTAACTTGGCAGAAGACTTCAGCCTGACTTCTGACTTCAGCCTGACTTCTGACTTCAGCCTTAACCGGCTTCAAGCTGTTCCTATTTCATCAACATTCAACTTTTCAGTGTCAACTCCTCACTGAACCCTCTCATCTACACGGTTTTCGATCAACGTTTCCGAAACGCTTTCCGCAATATTCTTCTCTGCGGTGGTAATAAGAAATAAGACTTTTAAATGAATTTGCATAGAGATAGATTTGCATATTTTGATCTGGTCAACTATTTATTTACGGGTCTTATATTTTGAAAGATTAGCCAAATTTTTATTGATCTCCGATTGCCATTTGCTGTTCATTTTTCTCATTTTATAGGGTGCTTTCCTGTCCCCCGGAGTGCCAAAAATTGTGATCTCACTGCTCTTTTTTTCTTTTGATTTTCGCTTCAAAATTTTTCTTTTGAAAAAGTTTTTGACGATTTGATGATAATAAACTTTTTTTTTTGAGTAATTTGGAGTAAAGCAATCGAAGCATATTCACAATCAATGGAAGCAATGGTTAATGTTTTGATCTAAAGTTCAAGCTTGATAAATGGTTGAGAATCAATTTCAAAGTTTTCAAAGAACTGAAAACAATTTTGTAATAGCCTTACGTCGATTATATTAGATTGGAAAGAAAGTTCGTGGAAAAAGTTTGTCTGAAATTTCATAAGAACGAATCCACCAATTCGAGATTGGTTAAATATCATCATTGAGGAAGAGCGATGCCGAATTCTTTCCCACGTTAGCCAAGCCAGCCAAGGCCAGGATAGGTCAAAGCCATTCTTTGGGGATGAAGTGAAAAGCGGGAATCTCAAGCATCTAGAAAATCTAGAAAACAAGCATCAGCTTTGTAAATAAATTTTAAACCTCAACTCTAAAGTCCGTCAAACAAAAGAGAATCAATTGCTTGCCATTTGCTGAAGTTTTTTCTACCTTTTTGCCAAAGTTTTTTCGAAGGGCCACTGGCTTTTTGACTAGACTTTGCTTTGAATATCTGTTTTGTTTGGTTTTTAGCTTGATTGACTTAGAGATCAAAGCATAGAGATCTAGCTTTCTTTATTAGCTGGCTCACGAGTGACTGTAGCTCAGTTACATCGAAAATAATCATAAAGAGTTACCATATCCTCTCTAATAGTAGTGCACCCTGAGCGTCGCCTAAATTCCTCGAAATCTCGAGAACCGCTTATCAGAACCTATCGATGTGGGGTCGGAAAATGTAGCTGACGATGAGATCTAGTGGGGGATTTGAGTGTTGAGCTTCTGGGAAAACTTTGAAACCGTAAAATCGTCATCAACTCGGCGCGGCGGGGTGCACTACTATTAGAGAAAATACGGTAACCGTAGTAGCTAAATTTTACATTACAGTAGCTAAATACAGTACTACTATTACAGTAGCTACTATTACTACTATTACAGTAGCTAACTTGGAAAGAGGAAACGAAAATATCTGCAAGAATCAAGGCTCGTGTCAATCTTCAAGATATCGCTTGTCATCTCTGAACTCTGTCACCTCAGAGACATGCCAGTGGCAATAGGTGATAAACAAGAAACACTAATTTACTCCAATTTGGCATCTAATCATCTAGGCATCAAGATAATCACTTCAAATCATAAACAACATTGACTTTTATTTCAATTCCATACAAATTTTCAATGTTTTCCCTTCAAAGCTTACCGTTTTCGTTAAAAGAATCCATTTTCGATCATCTTGATTTAGATGAAGTTTTCAACCTTTTGCAAACCAATTACGATGTTCGGGCTTATTTCTTAAAACGTGGACCTTTCAACAAAACCCTTCTTGAGCTTAGTTTTTACTCTACAACTTCCTCAGTTCATAATGGTCGACTTTTCTGTCACAGCTTGCAAATTGAGCTCATCACAAGGAGAAAAACACTGAAATTTGAGGACATTCTCTCAATTTTACCGTCTGAATCTTCTCAAATCTATCGATTGTCGTCACTTTTCGGAAACATTTCAAGCGTCAAGCAACTCTGGATTCAATTGTATGACTTTAGGCAAAAAGATGACTATTCTCATGAATTTTTCGATTTTATGCCTAAAATCTCAACCCTGGCTTCTCTTAATATTTATACCGATTGCTTCAACAAGTTTCAATCTTTGACTAAAACTTTGCGACCTCAAATCACCGACGATTTCTCGTTCTCTTTCTACAAAGACGATGCACACGGCTTTGATGTTAGATATTTGAAAAACTATATTGAAAAAAGGCTTTTAACTCAAGGAAAGCTCAGTTTCTATGTGCCTTTATCAATTCTTTATCCGATTTTAAAGAAATTCAACTCCAAATACTTCCAAAAGAAGTGTCGCTCAAAGGAAGATTTTAGTGAATCGTTGAAATTTCTTCTTAAAAACGGAATGCCAAGTGAAAATCCAAAATTTCATTGCAAATTCAGCACTGCTTTCCTTAAGAATGTACCAAGAGATTCGATTGAAGAATTTCGATTTATTAGAAAGATTCTTCAATCAGAACTCATTGAACAAACAAATTTATTGAAAAAAATGAAACATTCAACAAATAAAAAGAAGATTATCAAGTTCGCAAGCTTTTACCGGCAAATCGATCATTGTAACAAGCTATTGTTTGAGTTGAAACTTTGTAGATTTGTTAACAGTAAACTTTTGAGACTTGAGCTTTCAATTCACCACAATGCTTTTCATAATCCAAAGAATTTGATTCAAAAGGCTTGGTGTTACTTGAATTATTGTAATTATTGTAATAGGGATTTGTCATATTATGATTAAAATCCATCAACTTTTTCCAGTGATTCTCCAATATTTCCTCAGGTTCTTTATTATTCATTTCTTGATTTTGTTGATAAATATTGCAATCAAAACTCTTATTGTATGTCCTAGCTACAGCAAGATCTTGTTACAATCTTGTTACAGTAAGTTTACTGAAAGAACATCTATTGGGTTGGTGAATCGAAAACTGCCAGACTTTGAACTAAAATTTATTGAACATAAAACCATCAATTCATTCGAAATAATTTCCATTATTATTGACGACTTCTGCCCATTTTACAGGCAATTTGCGGATTCCTCTTTCGTAGTGGGATTTTCGTTTGTGTGTGAGACAAGTGTGAGACTCAAGAATGGAGGACTGGAGATGTGAGCTGTCAGCCCAGTTGAGCACTTTCTTCAAAAGAAACCCATTTTGGTGTCAATAGAGAAGTTGTAGAGAATCAAAAATTAGGCCTATAGCCAAATTTCCAAAAAGATACATTTAGTAGTTTCGCTTAAAACCCACAAGTGTTTGGCCAATTTTGGAGGCAAGGCCTTGTGCAAAACCCCCACAAAAGTTTGGAGGCTCTTAAGCGATCGTTGACCAGTGAATGGGATCGAATCACTCCGGCTGAGCTGCGGCGCATCGCCGAAAACTTCATCAAGCGTTTGAGGCTCTGCAACGGAGCCAAAGGTGGCCACTTTGAAGAAAAGTAGATTTGCTGCTCACTTTATATCATGTTGTTAATAAAAGATTGTTTCCGTTACAAAATCTTTTTGGATCTTTAAAAAATAGGCTAAATTAGACCGCAACGTTATTTCTGGTCACCCTGTAGTCAGTATATCGCCTAAGCGTCAAGAAAAGACCTCTAAAGTTCAAAAGCAATTTCTTTTCACCTGTTCTCTCTCACTTCCAAACCATTTTGAAAGAACCAAATTGATTTATTTCTAATATCATTCAATGTTTTACGCCCCCGATTTCAAGCAAAAACTCGTGATATCAGGAATTTACGATGTCGCAAGTGTTCTCTCAGTTATCCTATGCCCAGTGGTTTTGTATCTTTTGTATTTGGATCGGAAACGAGCCGCCAAAACGCACACCATCTTCCAAATGGCAATCGTGGTGAGTGAATTTAAATTGTCTATTTGAAAACCATTAAACTTTAATCTTAATAAAAAGCACTGCATAGTTTAGTTGGGAACTGAAATTTTATGCATTGAGGAGATCTCTTTCTTTCTATTTCCTTCCCCCTTTTGCCTGACTTCTTGCTTGTTGCTTGTTCTTCTTTCCCTCACCTCACCTTTTTCGTTTTTCCTTTTCATTTTTAAAAACAATTTGGCAAAGGAAAAGGAGCTAAAGGGAATCGTATTCTCGACCTTGGCTACAGGCGACCTCTTTCCATTGAGCTACAGGCACTGCTGATCCCAGAGTCAAAGAAGGCAGAAGAAGAAAGAAAGAGAAAGTCCACACGCTGTCTCACAAGTCCAAGAACAAAAGAAACCGTTAAACTAGCTCTAATTCTAGCTTTCAGTGCATCTCTTTTCTTTGCGATCTCCTTCTGGGCATCACGAATCCGGTGCTTTTACTTCCATATCCCGCCGTCTACTGTATGTCGCCGATCTTCAATGCAATCACCATTCGACCATGGATAGCGAAAAATATATTCGTAACAACTTTTATCAATAGTACTTAATATTTTGCACTCAGTTCAACTACGTTTTTGGAGAAGGCCTTATTGTCTACTTCCTCGCTGTGATGTTTAATCATCGCTTATTCTTACTGAGGAATGATGGCCGAAAAATCGAAAATTCACCCGTTTTCATTGCTTGTTCGGCTTTTTTAGGCATTTTTCTGACTGTTGGTATTATTGCCGTGCAAGGGTTGCCGTTTCTCGATGCAGAAGCAATAGAGAGAGAGGTGAGTGGATGAAAAGATGAAAACTCACAAGGAAATGGTCTTAACTCAAAGGATTGAGTTGCAAATAAAGTTTGCCATTGTAGTGATTAGGCATAGGTTCTGGTTTTTTGATTTAGGCTGTTGACGAGTATGGAAGTGGTCTCTATCGACTTGTGATTATTTTTGGCTATTTTGCATGGGGCATTTTGTTTCCGTGGGATTCTGATGTTATCGTGAGTTTTCCTAAGATAGTTTTTCACCATGCTAGATGGATTCGAATCCATTAAACCTGTAAGCCAAGCTTTTGGAAAGAAAAGAATCAAGAAAAGTTTCAGAATCACTCGTACGTCCGAATCCCCGACGAAATACTGGCGTTTATAAAAGAAACACCGGGTACCTTCTATTGGGTGTTTAATCGGTCGATCACTCGATACGTTGCTATTTTCTTCTTAATCCTTTTTTTTTTGGTGGGGAGCGAAATGATCTTCACAGTGCTTAGTATATTTCATTTTACGTACAAACTCGGTAAGAACATTCGAAGTAAACAGGCTCGGCAAACACAAAACGGCTATGTGCGAATTCTTCTATTACAGGTGAGAAATGGGCTAGAGTGGTGGAAAAATGAAGTAAAACGAACAGAATCTTAAGGAAAAATTTAATTAGGGATCTTTAATACAAAAGTTACATGGTGATTTACAAAGCTATGTAAACTTGCATCAAATTTTTCGGCGAAAGAAGCACAAATATTCAATTTTCAATTGCGCCCAAGGCTTACAGACGAATAAAATCCTTTTTCAGTTCTTTGCCGTTTGCCTATTTTATGGCCTTACAGTTCTTGCTCTTTTCCTGAATGTGGTTCAAGATTACGTTAACCTATATTCTGGTTAGTGAAAATGTTCTGATGAAATAGGACATTGATAAAACAAGCACTTCGCTTTTCAGTCACATCCAGCTTTATGGCCTATGTCAGTTGGCATTCCACGATAAATTGTTTGATTTTGATTTTTGGCGCAAAGTCTATGCGGAGACTTCTCTTCAAAAGGATCAAGGAGTTGTGGTCAAGTAGGCCTTGAAATAGTGACATGTTTTAGAAAAAGCATTACTTTTCTGTTGAACTTGGATTTTTAACGACTTGAATCCTGTTGATCTTGATAAATCTTGAATCTTGAATCTTGAATCTTGAATCGACTTAAATCATCGATTTATTTTAGCCTATCACAAGTATCACGGAGAACACTCAAATGGTCATGGGCCAATCGCTGGAAAGGTGAATCAACGAGGAAATTTGAAAGTCGTTGCCACGACTAGGGTGAAACCCTTAACGAATAATGTGCATAGATGATTTGATTTTGATTTGAGTGTTTTTTTGATTGTTCAAAAAATCTCGAATAAAGTTTTCCCGATAGTTACTCCCGAGGTTTACTGGATTCGAGTCCGCTTAGGATGGTGAAAAACCATCTGAAGAAAACCCACCATAACATCAGAATCCCTCGGAAACAAAATGCCCCATGCAAAATAGCCAAAAATGATCAAAACTCGATAGAGACCACTTCCATACTCGTCAACAGCCTAAATCAAAAAACCAGAACCTATGCCTAATCACTACAATGGCAAACTTTATTTTCCAACTCAATCCTTTGAGTTAGTTTAGTGCTTTTTGCTGGGAAGCTTCTGGTTACCTGAATGATCAAGGCATTGACCAATTGTTTCTGCTTTTCGATCTGTTGAACTTCGAGTGAATCCATCTGAACCTTCAATGATTGAAATGACGAAAGAGCAAGGACTAAAGAGCAAAGATTGAAAACAAAACAAGTTTAAAGCCATTAACCAATCATCATCAACAGCAAAACAATCGCATAACCACCCGTATTGTACACAAAAAAGTTGAGAGTATCCGGTGGAACGGCATCGAAGTGCTCGGATTGAATGAATTGTGCGAAAGATTGGGTATTCCTGTGAGGTTTTCAATTATTTGAAGATAAAAATAGCCAACCAGTAAGTAAAATTCGCGAATCTCTGTCAAGTTGTGCCGTGCAGGAATGTAAAAATATTCAAGAGTGACATGGAGATACGGGAAAAATGTCAGCAGCGAATATGTGGCATAACGAAATCTAGAGAAGTAATCGAAAAAGCTGTAAGATCTCTTTTTACTTCTTCGACAACTTGAGCCAATGATTCGGTGGTAGAATGAACTGTTGTCGACATAAAAACAGAGACAAAGAGGCGGCTTCGGTGTGGCCGACGAGGGCCACCCCGATGAACTGAAAATCAAGGTGATTTAGTCTGAAAGTTGGAAGATAATGTCAACTTTAAAGACACTTTTTGTAGGCATAAGGCCCTCTTTAAATACAATATCAAGCCAATATTTTTATTGGCTTGTTGAGGAAAAATTAATTGAACCGAAATAGATCAAAAAGGACTTTCTGCCACTTGGAAAAAAAGGGCGAGTTAAGCAATGTTGGTTAGTCGAAAAAACAGCTATATCTCAGCGTTCGTTTAAGATTTTTGAAATCTGACTTCGGATTCAAATTCCTCAGCCCGAAGAATCCCCAGGTACCCATTTTTAGCTTGTTTGGTTGATGGAATCAGCAAAAAATGGCCCGGATCGTCGTGAATGTGATAAAGATTCCTGCTCGAATATGTCATTAATCTATACAGGCTCCTATTATAAGTAAACGTGAAGTCACTCAATCGCACGCAAAGATTATGCGAAATCTTCTCTTCAAAAAGATCTAGGAGTTGTGGTCAAGTAGGTCTTGAAATGGTTAGAAAAAGCATGACTTTTCTGTTGAACTTGGATTTTTAACGACTTGAATCCTGTTGATCTTGATGAATCTTGACTCTTGAATCGACTTATTTTAGCCTATCACAAGTATCACGGAGAACACTCAAATGGTCATGGCTCAATCGCTGGAGAAGTGAATCAACAAGGAAAATTGAAAGTCGTTGCCACGACTAGGGTGAAGCCCTTAACGAATAATGTGCAAACGTGATTTGATTTTGATTTTGATTTGAGTGTTTTTTGATTGTTCAAAAAATTTCTAATAAAGTTTTCCCGGCTGCACAGACAATTTTTGTGTGTGTATCGACTTATTTCAGCCTATCACAAGTATGTCACACAGCGCTGTCACGGCGGACGAGAATTCCAACCGTCGTAACTCGAGCCACCTTGTTTGCGTCGCCGAGCACCCATTTTCCACACCGATTCGTCTTACCAATTGCGTGCAAATGGCGGAGAATGGTTGTATGATGGCAGTCAAACAGCTCTGCAAGCTCCGGAGTTGTTTGGCATGGATCCAATTCGATAGCGTTCTTCAGCGCTTCCGAGACGGTGATGAAAGTTTGGAAGACGAAAAACGCGGGAATCCGCCTCAAATTGTCGACAACGATGAGTTGAAGAAGGTCTTTGCGCGGTCTGATGAAGGTCTTTGCGCTGTCTGCCGCGAAAAGACGGACCGGGCTTCTCGACTCCATTGTTACGTCAGATGAAAAGTGGATATGTTACGACAACACAACGAGAAAACGGCAGTGGTTGGACGCCGGTGAACCGCCAAAACCGACTCCCAAACCGAATATCCACGGAAAAAAGGTGATGCTTTGTATTTGGTGGAACAGTAAAGGTCTCGTGTATTTTGAGGTGCTAGATTCGGGCCAAAGAGACACGGCGGATCTCTACAAAGCCCAATTGAGCCGCGTGGACCAGGCGTTGCGTCGACACGTCGCAATAACACGGCGACTACAAAATTCCTCCACGATAACGCTCGACCCCAGGAATTGGGCTGAGAAGTTCTGCCTCATCCGCCATATAGCCCGGACTTGGCCCCATCCGACTACCACTTGTTTTGGTCGATGCAGCACTCTTTAGCAGAAAAAAATTCAAAAACCACGAAGAAGTTGAAATCTGGGTGTCCAACTTCTTCGAGTCGCAGTTGGCCGAGTTCTTCAAAAAAGGGCATCTATTCTCTGCGTGAAAGATGGCAAAGAGTCATTGATAATGATGGCAAATATCTGTTGAATTGAGATTCTGTATTAGGATTTTTATAATAAATTTTGTTTATGGTTCCAACGGAAGTTTCATCTGCACCAACCTAATACTATTCGTGTGAACAAATGTATTTTTGATTTATCCTGACGAGGAAATATTGTAGAGTGAAAAAAACGAAAGACTTTTGATTAGTCCAGCTTCGGTGAGCCCTTCACATTGTTCTTTTTGAAAGATTTCATCTTGAATTCGCACCGCACAATTCAACGCAAGGAAGGCTTCAAAATTCTCATTTAGCGTGCTGATCGTTCCGGGTTACGACGCAACCCCTCTCACACTTTTTTGATGTTGGACTGAATCACTACAGAACACCTTTTTCTTTGGTCAGCTCTATCAGCATCTGTTCCCAATTCCTTGAATCGTTTAATCGTTATGGTCGCAATGCGCTGTGTGATAGCGCACCGCATATAAACTCCATAAATTTTTAGAAATTGCACCTGTCAAAAAAAGCCCATTAATTGAAATTATGCGAAAACTACAAACCCTTTTTGCAGCATCAAAAACACAAAAATTGTCTGTGCAGCCGGGAAAACTTTATTAGAAATTTTTTGAACAATCAAAAAAACACTCAAATCAAAATCAAAATCAAATCACGTTTGCACATTATTCGTTAAGGGCCTCACCCTAGTCGTGGCAACGACTTTCAATTTTCCTTGCTGATTCCCTTTTCCAGCGATTGAGCCATTTTATTTGTCTGTAAGCCTTGAGCGTGATTGAAAATCGAATATTTGTGTTTCTTTCGCCCAAAAATTTCATGCAAATTTACATAACTTTGTAAATTACCATTTAACTTTTGTATAAAAGATCCCTAATTAAATTTTTGCTTGATATTCTGTCCGTTTTACTTAATTTTTTTTACCACTCTAGCCCATTTCCCACCTGTAATAGAAGAATTTGCACATAGCCGATTTGTGTTTGCCGAGCCTGTTTACTTCGAATATTCTTACCGAGTTTGTACGTAAAATGAAATATTCTAAGGACTATGAAGCTAGTTTCGGCCCCCAGCAAAAAACAAAAGATTAGTACGATAATAGCAACGTATCGAATGATCGACCGATTAAACACCCAATAGAAGGTACCCGGTGTTTCTTTTATAAACGTCAGTATTTCTTCGGGGATTCGGACATTCGTGTGATTCTGTGTGTGCAGCGTGTGCACTTTCTATTTCTTTCTCCTTCTGCCTTCTTTCTCCCCGGGATCAGAAGCGCCTGTAGCTCAGTGGATAGAGGTCGCCTGTAGCCAAGGAGAAGGCCGGGGACCTTCTGTCTGGTTTCTGCTTGTTCGATTGCCTTTAACTCGTTTTTTTTCCCAAATTATTTTTAAAAATGAAAAAAGAAAAACGAAAAAGGTGAGATGAGGGGAAGAGAGGAAAGGAAGAACACGCAACAAGCAAGCAGCCAAGCAAAAGGGGAAAGGAAATAGGAAGAAAGAGATCTCCTCAATGCATAAAATTAGTTCCCAATTAAACTATGCAGTGCTTTTTATTAAGATTAAAGATTAATGGTTTTCAAATAGAAAATTTGAATTCACTCACCACGATTGCCATTTGAAAGATGGTGTGCGTTTTAGCGGCTCGTTTCCGATCCAAATACAAAAGATACAAAACCACTGGGCATAGGATAACTGAGAGAACACTTGCGACATCGTAAATTCCTGATATCACGAGTTTTTGCGTGAAATCCGGGGCGAAAAACATTGAATGATATTAGAAATGAATCAATTTTGTTCTTTCAGCCTTGCCTCCAAAATTGACCAAACACTATAGTGCAACGGATTGGGATCGATAAGAAATCTCAGGCTTTATCGTTTTATTTTCCAAATCAAAAAAGATATTGATAAAAAATTACTGAAATCTTTGAATACAGGGTTGTAACATTGATTTAAGAAACTGCTTGATTTTTATTGGGTTGGTGAATTAAAAACTGCGGCTATTGTCATATGTGACAGTTTGAGCACTTTCTTCAAAAGGAACCCATTTTGGTGTCAATGGAAAAGTTGTAGAGAATCAAAAATCAAGCTTATATCCAAATTTTCAGAACGATTGAAAAACTGGTTGTCAAGAAATGCGAAATTTACGAATTTTCACAAAACTTGCATTTTAAGGGAAACTACTATTAGGTTGGCTGGAAAGTTCTTTCCGTTTTTTGACGCTAGATCTAACTTTTTATTTTACGCATCAAAAACGCCAAATAAAAAACAGAATTTTTGAAGAGAGCCACCGAAATAAATACACGGATTGGGTTCAAATCGATGAGGAGCCTCGTCTCGAATGTGATATTGTGCTGGTGTTTTGCGAACGAGTGAACAGCTCAAGGAAATTCTTTCTCTTTTTCTACAAGCTTCGTGATATCTCTGCGAGTATTTTTCCTTGCTGATGAAGAGTAATAATGGCTGAACGCAGCTCTTTCTTAGACTTCATACCTAAAAACAATCAAATCATCAAATAAGAAGAAGAAAAGGAAAAAAGGAAAGACAGAAAAGAGTTAAACGTAGAAACGTAAAGGTGGAATTACAAATAACACTGATGGATCTAAAGATGATCAAATTTCCTGCTTTAAGGTAGGGTAAAAGGTTAAAGCTTAACAATTCAAGCTAAGATGACAATCCGACTGGATGGTGCATGAAGACCAGAAGCTAACGAAAGGAGAAAATCTCAAGACACTGACCTTGACGTTTACTTGCAATGGGTCGTCGATGCCTGGGACAGTTTGGATAAGGATCTTATCGCCAAATCGTTCAAAACTTGTGAGATTACAAATAACACCGATGGATCTGAAGATGATCAAATTTCCTGCTTTAAGGTAAGGTAAAAGGTTAAAGCTTAACAATTCAAGCTAAGATTTTACTTTATTAATGTCTTTTATTTTAGGCTGACTTTTAGGCTTATTTTAGGCTTTTAGGCCGTTCCAGAAGGGGCTTCCAAATTGCAACAGGCCAGGCACGATGAGCTGCTCGCCAAATTGATGGAGAAAATCGAACACGGTAAAGATAAGGAAAACAAGGACGATGACAGTGGTGCCTTCGTTGAAGTCGATGATGTCAACGGAAATGCTATCGAAGATGATTTAAATGATTGATGAGTTTGTTTAAAATTGTTTTTATATTGTTAAATAAATGTTGTTGTTTTACTTACACGAATGAACAAATTAATCTTAAAATTCTGTTTGATATTTGAACGGGTTTCTTTCTAGCTACCTACCTATTTGATTGTTCTTTAAAGATTTGAAAAATAGAAGCAATGAGAGGGAAAAATAGAAGCACAGCCTCTAACAAAAGCAACTTTGGTGAGGCGGATGAAAAATAAAAGCACATGTGCTTCTACTAGGATAAATACGGTAGCTGTTTTATTAAATGCAAATGTTTCAAAATCTCCTTAACGATCAGTTATTATGCAACCGTTAGTTTGAGAAAAATACCGTAATCGAAAAGTCCACTTTTCGCTATCTATTCTTTTCCTTTACCATTCCCAGCGGCCTCCAGATACATTTAATTGTCCCGTATCTGGCCCCATTTTGCCGATTTTGACCAATTTTCTTACCATATCTAGAAATTCACACAAATCTGCTCAACAATAATTTCCCCATCCACTATAAATAGAGATCCAAATCACTATTCGAATCATTCACAAGCCATCTTCTCTTCTCTACTTTGAAAACTCTCTTCTAAAATTCTTCCCTTTTTTTCTTTTGATACCTTTGAGGTTTTAACTTTATTTTTTAATTAGCTAATCGGTTAAGAAGTAGTTTTTTGATTCAACTTTTACTCCATTTTTCATTTTATGATACAATTTTAGTTCCTCAACTTTCCTCTCAAAAATTTCGAAAATGTCCGATGACGGCCCATCTGATGCGAAGCGAGCCCGTGAAGAGGATGTTGTTTTTCGGGTAAGGAAATAAACCACTAGAAGAAAATATATTCAGCTAAAAGAGTAATAAAAGAAGCTTTTTGAGTAATGCCCCTTTTTTACAGGTCATCTCCAAAGAGGACAAGGAATTCACCCTGTCGAAGAAAGCGGCTCAACTCTGTGGAACCGTCAATCACTATGCTGAGGTTTGGAGAGAAAATAAATAGCATTTGTTTTCTAATTTAGCATAGAAATCTATAAAGTTTTACGATTCTCAAAGTTTAAATACCTTTTCGCTTTCAGAACACCGGTTTGACAGACGATGAGGCGATCTCGAAAATGGAACCGATGGCTCTTCCAAATGTTTCCAGTGAAAGCCTTTATTATGTGAGTTTTCAATGATTTCAATTTTTTAAAGTCAACTTTTCATCAGTTTCAAATCAAATTCTTGAATTCATCTTTCACTTTCAGATCGTTCGTTGGTGTGAACAACACCGCGACTGTCCGGCTTGGGAAGAGGAAAAATGGTGGGTGAATTCATTGATTTAATTGAATAACTTAATAATTTAATATTTAGAAATGAAGTTTGCAATTTGATTACTCGCAAAGAGCCTTAATTCTAACAATTCAGGTGGGAAAACGAACGCGATGCTGAGTTGACGAAATGGGAGAAAGAATTCATGGCCGAGATGACTTCCGAGGCGCTTCACGATGTTTATTTGGTTGGCTTTTGCAAATAATACATTATAAGTCTTTTCGATAATAAAATCAAAACATCTTACTCTTTCAATCTGAAAAATCCCTTACCAATTCCTTTTCCAGGCTGCCAACTACATGGACATCAAGTGCCTTCTCGATAAATGCGCTCAAACAATCGCCGATATGATCAAGGTGAGTTTCAAAGAGAAATTTGCATAGAAATAGCTATAAAAGCTTTGAGTAAGTCTCAAATTTTGAACTCTTTTCAATTCAAATTTCAGGGAAAATCACCGGAAGAGATCCGCGAGATTTGGGGAGTGGAGAACGACTTTACTGCCGAAGAGGAAGAGGCAATCAAGTAGGTTTTAAGAAGAATTGTAATTGGATAGAAGTTTGAACTGATTGAATCTTAATCTTGACTTTATACCATTTGCAATTTCAAGAAGAATGGTATCAATGCAAGAATTAATAGCCCTAGAGTAGATTGAGATAAGGATTTGAGAGACTTCTAAAGGCTATTTTAAAGGCTATTCTAAAGTTTTCAGGCTAGAAACCCATTTAATTTTGATAATGAATAACATATACAAATGTCGATGAGCAGAATTTGAATGAAATATCTTAATTTCTGTGTTTTCAGGAATGAGGACCCCTGGAAGGTGATTCTAGACTATCAAGAGAAACTCGATAGAGAAGAAGAAGAAGCCGCTCAACGGGGATCGTCGTTGACTCAAGCCTGAGCTGAGCCCGAGCTCTTCAAAAACAATTCTTGATCTCACTTATTGTATAGTTCTTTAACTATGCTTTTAAGATGTTTTTTCCAAATTTTCTCCTAACTTTTGCCTTTTATTATATGAATAAATTTATTGTAGAAGTTTTGTACCAGAAACCGCAAATTGACACAGAGAATACCAAGGTTTTGCTAAAAAATTTTGTGCCTTTAAAAGTCAAGACTAATCTGTGTCAAGTGTAACTTTTAGAAGAGTTCTTTTGTCTATTGGACTCTGGACTTTGTTGGACTTCATTAGACATGGGCATCGGGTCAAAAGTGGCCCGCTGACCCGACCCACGACCCGGCTTTTTTCCCGGGTGACCGATCGACTTACTCATTTGTCTAATGAGTAAGTTCAGGTGACCCGCTGAACCGACCCGGCCGCCAAAACTCGAAAATGGACATGTCTATTACTCATGTGTACCAGTCGACAATTTGGTTTTAGTGAGAAACGGTTCCAATTGAGATTCCTCTTTCAAGATATTTTCATTTTCATAATGTTTTTTCTTTGTTAGATTCTTGGCACTTTTGTAAAAGTACAAATCGAATAATGCTTATGAAAATACAAAGCATGCACAACAAAACATGCAAACATGGAAAGTCTGAAAAAGGCTCTGAAGAAAGCCTGAGTGGAAATTCCACAAAGTACCCTGCGGGCCGCCGTGGAAAGTTATCCAAAGCGTCTTAAAGCCGTTATCAAGAATAAAGGTGCCCATATTGTTATTTTTTTAAATGAATATGATTACTGTTGTTAATTTTAAATAAAGTTTACATGAATCCGCTCATATTTCATTACGATACACGGTTCTGAGTCTGTAACCATACTTATGCCGCCCTGTAGCCTGTAGCCTGTAGCCTGTAGCAATAGCAATAGCAATATAATCTCTCTTTTGGCCAAAACTTTTTACAGAGAAGCTGTATTTAAAAAAAAATAATGGTGTCATCTTCTTGGCTAATATAGGTAATTTTGAAAAGTTAAAAAGCATTAGATAAAAGTTGCCTCTATCACAAATTTTCCCTATTTTAAGTACTTCATTTTAGGCTTTGAATGGAACCCATTACCTATCCATTAACCCATTAAAAACTTGTCTAAAGTCTGGTCACTCAAAAAGTGATCAAGTCACTTCAGCTGAAGATATCTCTTAATTTTTACCTGAAGACCACTCTGGTTTTTTTGGCAAAAAGCTTTTGAAATATAGTCAAGTTTATCGAAAAAATCTGGGAAGAATTGATGGCTTGGTTTTTGAGAAATCATGGTGCAAAATTTTTCTACGAACTTTCTTGCCAACCTAATAATTCCCCTTGCGGCGATTCCTCCCTTACGATTCTTGTTTCAGCTAACAAAAGAATAGTTTTACCGAATCGGAATCGGAAGCATATTTTCGGTTCCTATGTCCACTGTCTACGGTTTCCCATGTCGACATCTCCAGAGTTGTTCCAAAAAGGCAAAAGCCTTGGTTAGCCAAGCCAGCCAAGGCCAGGCCAGCCAAAGCCAGGACAGGTCTGAATTTTTTGATTCTAGTAACAACCCTGTACATGTCTACATGTCTACGAAACCGCTCCCTATAAAGGCGAGTTCTTTTATTTTGCTGACAAATGGTACGGTACCGGACAGATCAATATTAACGTACTTATCAATATCAACGTACCGATCCATTAACCCATTAAAAACTTGTCTAAAGGCTGGTCACTCAAAAGTGACCAATCAGCTGAAATCTCTTATTTTTGACCTGAAGCCTGCTCTGATTTTTTAGCAAAATTTTTTTGATAAATATAGTTAAGTTTATTAAAAGAACTTGGGAAGAATTTATGGCTTGTTTTTTCAGAAATCATTGTGCAAACTTTCTTGCTAATCTATTAGGTTGTTCGGATATAAACAAGCGTTGCTAAACTTATTGTTGTGAGAGAAGCTTTTAAAACATGTCTTTCTGTATTTAAAAGTATCTTGTGCATATTTGGAATCTTTTTAAAAGGATAATTTCTTATTTTTAAGATCTTTTTTCTTGCTTTAGATGACCGACTTCAAATATATAAAGTTCGCGTCTACTTTACTTATCAATAAGCCTACTTTACGACTTCAAACTGGGCAAAACAGTCGCGGAATCCCATCGAGATTTGGACCAAGCCTTTGGGAATAATGTATTGTCCGAAAGCCGATGCCGAGCCTGGTTCTAACGCTTTCGGAATGGTGATGAAAGTCTCAAGAATGATGAACACTCTCGTCGACCTCAAGCGGTAGACAACGATATTTTGAGGGCTGCGGATCCATGTTAAACGACGCGTGAACTTGCACAACAGTTTCTATGTTCAAATTCTACTATTGATGAGCATCTCCACATCAATTTCAAATTCAAGCCTCATTTTCAAGCATCAATTTCCCAATAATCCCAGTAAAAATCACTTTTCTGAGAAAAAAAATCCAACCAATTCGCGTCACTTGATTTTCATTGCATAACGTGAGAAAGCTGTAAAGAAAAGCGAAAAGCAAAAAGGGCTTTTTCCCGATTTCGTAACGATGACTCACTCTATGTGACGCGGATGAGCTTTGACCATTAGTGCCTAGATAAAGAGGATATTTTAAGTTATTTACAGCAATAAGTAGAACTAGACTAGTAAAGTTGATTCTTTTATAATTAAGCTATAGAGTGAACAAGAATAATTAAAGATCAAAGATCTTGAAACTTGGAAAAAGAAATATCAATTTTCAGGGTTTAATGAGAATCGTGACTGTTGGTTCCCTATCTCAACAAACTTGGTTCCCTATCTCTTTCAATTTGGTTCCCTATCTCAACAAACTTGGTTCCCTATCTCTTTAAATTTGGGTCCCTTTCTCTTCAAATTCTCTTGCATTGGGAATGTTCTTCGAAAGCTTTATCTTTTTCATGACAATAGTTAACAACAATTCTTTTTAGTTTCCTTATTTTCCGTGTCATTTACCATTTTCCCCTTTTCTATAAAGAATTTCAAACTGAGATTCTCATTAACTCTCTTGAAATTCTCAATAAACACTCGAAAATCAGAGAAACTTTTGAAATATTGTCTAATGAATTGTTAAAAACAAGATTTTCCTTTATTTTTGATTTTCTTTTCTTGTGTTCTGTGATTTTCTGAGAATTTCTGAGATTTTCTGACCTTTTCATTGTTTGTAGTCGTCGTTTTTCTCTCTTTTTACCTTTCCAACTCACTTTTTATATCCATTTCTCTTTGATTTTTCTTAGAAACAAGTCTAATAAATGATTCACTTTTCTCGATTTGAAAGTAATTATTGAGATTAGATTTTAACCTTAATAAAGTAGTTTTTAACTGATTTTTGGTTCTTTTTGGGTTAGAGTAGCCAGGCAAAGGGTAAAAGCTTACAGAAAATCCTGAAAATCCAATGATCCAGTGATCCAGTGATCCAGTAATCCAATGATCCAGTAATCCAGTAATCCAGTAATCCAGTAATCCAGTAATCCAGTGATCCAGTAATCCAGTGATCCAGTGATCCAGTAATCCAATGATCCAGTAATCCAGTAATCCAGTGATCCAGTAATCCAATGATCCAGTAATCCAGTAATCCAGTGATCCAGTAATCCAGTGATCCAGTAATCCAGTGATCCAGTGATCCAGTAATCCAGTGATCCAGTGATCCATTGATCCAGTAATCCAGTAATCCAATGATCCAGTAATCCAGTGATCCAGTGATCCAGTAATCCAGTAATCCAGTGATCCAGTAATCCAATGATCCAGTAATCCAGTAATCCAGTAATCCAATGATCCAGTAATCCAGTAATCCAGTAATCCAGTAATCCAGTGATCCAGAAAATCAGTTCCATCTAAACTTAACCTGAGAATTAGTCAAATTTGCTCATTTTTCAGGAAAATCGTTCTCAAACCTCTCTTTTACCTTAGAAAAGACAAGACTTTTGCATAATTGCTCCTTTTTGACACTTCTAGATTTCGGAATGGTCTGAAAATTTGGGATTTCTTATTTCAAATATCTGGAAGATGATTTCCAAATTTTCAGACCGATTCAAAGTCTAGAAGTGGAGAAAACGGGCAGACCGGTACCAGTACCGCGACCCTGTAAGTCACTGAGATCCCAGTGGATTTCACTCCACCTCTACAGACTTCAGGGCATCAAAGAGACATTTTTCTGGCTCCGAATTTCATAACCGATCGAATGGTGCCATTTGCTGAACGATCAGGGAAACTTTTCTGAACAAAATTTTGAGCGAAAAGTGAAAAGCGCGAAATTGCGCTTCAGGAAAACTGCAATTTCGCGCAATTGCTCCTTTTTGACACTTCTAGAATTTGGATTGGTCTGAAAATTTGGGAATTCTCATTTCTAATATCTGGAAGAGGATTTTCAAATTTTAGATTGATCCGAAAGTTTTTATACGGAAATAAAACGGAAATAAAAAGCCATTCCTTACTTTGAAATCATATTTTTAAACTTTTTCACATTGAAACCCTGGTTTGGCTAACATTTTTTGTGTTCCTGGTTGTCTTTTCCCTTGTGTCCATGCCTTTTCTCTTCCTCACTCATCAAAGCTCGTGCTATTTTCGCGTCCAAATCGATTTTTGTCCTTTTCTTTGACCAGTATGAGCTATTTTTTGCGAGCTAAACCCCATGAAATGATTCAAATCCATTTTGTCGAAAATTTTCTTATCCAAACTTACTAAAACTTATCAGTAATCAATATTTGACTTTCCATGAATGTTATAAATAAGCTTAAGCTTAATTACGAGTTGAACTTTTGGCTTTTTTTGCCATTCCCAAAAGATACAAAACCGACAATTTGTAGTTTCCCGATTATCAGCTTTTCTCTTGAAGTCTCGAAATTTCCTTTAAGAAGATACTTTGAAAATTTCAGTCGAATAATCATGGAACCAAATTCACCACCGCCGAGCTACGAAGAATGTATGAATTCTCGTCCACACACTCCACAAAGCAGCTACTATGGAAGCGGTGGGCATCAAGTGATTCCGACCTTTCCACAGAATCCAAATGATGTGAGTTTTTCTTTTAGATTTTAGTCGATTTTGTAAGTTTTAGAGTAGTTCGGATAATGTATTAGATATCAGATATCTCAATTATTGTATACCAGATCGATACACAAGTATAGGTGTAGCTAAACTCTTTCCCTTGAGTCTCACGTTCGTTCTTGGCTTACCTTGAAGACTAGACTCCTCCCAGTGAACTGAGGAGAGACTTGTAAATATTGTAAGTACCAACTTTAGTACTGTTGTCTTGCGATTTAGTGTTAGAATTGGAATTTTATGGGCAAAGGTTTGGAGGAAATAGAAAGACAAGCAGGTACAGGCTCTCCGACTGATTTTGGTGTTATCTAGAAAGTCTTTTGTCTTATCTTTGTCTTTTTCTTTGTCCGTCTTTCCTTAACTATAAATTAAATAGAACTACAGAATAGATAAGGCTAAAATATTCGATAAAATGATGTGCGTTTGTTAAGAAATAAGCTGAATGACCGGTGTTAATGCATTTGAGTACGAATTACTTTAACAAACAGAACTCATCGCTTGTACTTTTTCTAGTAATGAGACTGCCACCGTAAATGCCACTAGTACTGCCACTAGTACTGCCACTGCCACTAGTAGTTCACTGTAAATGGTTCTTTTTTGAGTCAAAAGTACTCTGAAACTCAATCTCCAGCCTTTTAAAACTTTTCCGTTCAACTGCTAAAAGCAAATTCGCTTCTAAAGCTTCATAACAACATTGAGACAAGATTTTAAGACTGACTTATTTACGTTAGACTTGACTGACTTGATTGGCTTGACTGACTTGATTGACTTGACTGACTTGACTGGCTTGTGGCTTGACTTACTTGATTGACTTGATTGACTTGATTGACTTGACTGACTTGATTGACTTGACTGACTTGATTGACTTGATTGACTTGACTGGTTAGACTGACTTGATTGACTTGATTGACTTGCAAAAAACCTAACTTCTTCCTTAATAAACTTAGTGACCAAATCGATTTCCAGAGTTGTCACAGTTCAAGAGCTGCCACACCAACTCCTCGAATTTATAATCATGGAGAGCACATTGTGCCGATTATGTGCCCACCACCGCCCGGTGTACAAAATGGTCTTCCATTGCAGACTCGACAAGAAGATGTAAGTATAATGAGAGTCAATATTGTTAAACTGTCAAGAATAAAATGATTCATAGATTCTTTCAAAACCATCTTTTAGTGCTGATTGCTTTCAGCATTTTCAAAAGCTTTCAGAGCTCTCAAGTTCAGAATTGTTGTTGCTGTTGTTGCTATGAACTATCGCCATCCTTTCATTATTCAAGTTTATATCTTGCTTCATAGTATTCTTAGTAAGAAAAAGTGTTTAGTGTGTTAATCCTTATAGAAGCTCAGCCATATTCTTCATAAAAACTAACTCCCAACTTCAGAATGTTGCCATGGAATGTCTCAAATCTGTTATCATTGGTGTTATATGCCTTTTCGTCTTTGTAATGTTCTTTGTGTGGCAAACGGTTTATAAGGGTTGTGCCACTTCGTGTGGCGTCTTTTCGCAGTGTCAGTCTTCACAATAATTTGATGGAAAAGATTCTAAATCATAAGATTTTTGGATAAAATAAACCATAGATTGATTGGTTTATTATTTATTTCAAAAAAATAACCTTTAAAAAAGTGGAGAAGGCTAATCAGCCTGATTTTCCGGGTCAGGTAAAGCAAGGGCCTCACCTGGCTTCTGGTTAAACTTGTCTGGATTTACTTCAAGCCAGGAGCCAGTCCGTTCTAGCTTCTAACAATCTGTTGCTTTGCGTGGTCTGGCTTGATTGAGCTGGCTTGATTGAGCTGGCTTGATTGAGCTGGCTTGATTGAGCTGGCTTGATTGAGCTGGCTTGATTGAGCTGGCTTGATTGAGCTGGCTTGATTGAGCTGGCTTGATTGAGCTGGCTTGCTTCAGCTGGCTTGCTTCAGCTTTACTGTAAGCCAGTCAGGTTCTATCTGGCTTCTAATCAACCTGCCTTACAAGTTACTATTAAAACTTGGTTGAATTCCGTTAAAAGTACATACTTCTAAAGGAGCTATAGAAGATGGAAATGATCAATTTGATCAATGTTTTTAGTAGCCTTAATTTCGAGTAGTTATTCGACTTTAATTCCAACAACAATGCCATAAGTTAACATAAAAAAGTTGTCATTCCTAGTCACAAATTCGGTCAAAACTGATATTGGAGATCTCTTTATGAACAAAAACCAACTAGTTTTTATAATAATAAAACCTTTCCAGTCAACATCTAGCTGCACAAGTCTTCTCGTTGTGATCATCGGAATTATTATGGTCTGCTATGCGATAATCTACATCACGACAAAGAAAAAGAGATAGTTCTTGCCTTTAATTGCCAAAATCTTGTAAATCATCGAGATCAATTTCTTTCTTACAAAATAAACGCGGGTGCTATGTATTCCTTTGTTAATCGTTTCGTTTGAATAAATTGTTGTGTCAGAGATTTAAGTTAAGAAATTAAATGGTTGAAAAATGCATCAAGTGAAATGAATTTTGATATTCCTTTGCGTTTGACAGCTTTTCTAAAGATGTTAAAATTGACAAAGTATGGAGTCCTCAATGCGTAATGAAAATAATGAAAATCAAGCTAACTTCCCAGCTAAATTCTCAGCTAACTTCCTGGCTAACTTCCTGGCTAAATTCCCAGCAAACTTCCCAGCTAACTTCCTAGCTTAATTCCCAGCTAACTTCCTGGCTAAATTCCCAGCAAACTTCCCAGCTAACTTCCTGGCTAACTTCCCAGCTAACTTCCTAGTTAAATTCCCAGCAAACTTCCCAGCCAACTTCCTGGCTAACTTCCCAGCTAACTTCCCAGCTAACTTCCTGGCTAACTTTGCTTTGACTGTAAGTGTCTAGTAGCTATTTTTACTTCTTTATATTACAACTTGTTCAACTTTTCCCAAAAAACTGGATTTCAAATGATTCTTGAAGTTCTTTAGTCAATTAAATACAACTAGTATTATGACGTTCAATTTCCCAATGGAATTCTTTACAAACATTTCCATTACCTGTTGCGAAAGAAATGCAATTTCTATCTCTGACTCACATTCCTAATCTTGCCTTTTTCCTTTTTTCTACTCCTTTTCCGGGTCCATCTCCGAAATCGATTCTCCGGACCGGCCTCTTGCAGAAAAGAGCGCCATGCCCCTTTGGCCAGCTCTAAATAGCCCCAAACACTCCACAGCTCATTGAAATGGTCTCATTCTTTGAGAAGTTTCAATTTCCTGCTTCAGTTTAGAGTTGTCTACATTGTCTACATTTACTTTATTTTTTTAATGGAACCGTCGAGCTCACGTTGTGAAACGCCGCCACCAAGCTATGAAGAATGCACTCGATCAAGGCCAACTACCCCACACAGTCAAATCTATATTCAAGATGGGGATAAATTGATTCTGATACCGACGAGTAACAGTGTAAGTTTAAAAACTGAGTTTAAACTTGATACAATTCTTCGAAAGAACTCAGAATTGGGTTCACTAGTGGTAGTTAAAAGTTGATTTGAAACTTTATTTAATCGCAATAGTCTATTGAATGCAATAGTCTATTGAACGTTGTAATTCTGTAAATTTAGGGAATCATCTATTCAAGACCGGGCACACCTCAACATGGCTATCAAAATCAAGACCAACCAGTCACAATTTTCGTTTCTCCACCAGCTGAAGAACCTCGTCAAACAACTCATCAAATCTCAGAAGACAGAGATGATGCCGATGCTCAGGTGAGATATAAATCCATTTGTTGTCTCAAATCAAATCACTTTAACATAACAGCTCATTTTATTAACGTTCTCAAGCACACAACTTTCTTTTTCTACCCAGCAAAGTTTGTCATGAATGGGTTTACCGCATTTTCTCTAATAGTAGTGCATCGTAGTGCTAAAGTCATACTCGTAATATTGTTAAACTATGAGAAAATGTTTATGGTTTTAAAAACTGTAAAGAGAAAGTAAAAAAAATGCTAAATTTGAGAGGAGTTATTGGCTTTCTGAAAAGTGATCGAATTATTAATAAATGAGCTTATTAAACAAACTAGAATACTGTAAATATATATAGAAAGAAGAGATCTGTATTTAACAAATTGTAAAGGTATTTTTGAGTGGAAGTGGGTAGACTAATGGCTTGACTGAAGCCAAACCAAATGCCAGACTTAAACTTGCTCTAGTTCCTACTTTCTCAAATCAATATTAAAGCTAGTCTGCTTAGTCCAGTTTCTTTAAAGCCAGTTTCGTAGTTAGTTAGTACCGTATTTTCTCTAATAGTAGCGCATCTTAAGCTTTGCCTTAATTGCTTGAAAACTCGAGAACCGCTTATCAGAACGTATTGATGTGGGGTCGGAAAATGGAGCTGACGATGAGATCTAGTGGAGGATTGGAGCGTTGAGCTTCTGCAAAAGCTTGGAAACTGTAAAATAGTCACCAACTCGGCTCGCTTGGGTGCACTACTACTAGACTACAATACGGTACTCATAATCGGATAGCCGGTTATGATTTTCGCTAGCGAACTGTGCAAATTTTAATACTGTATTTTCTCTAATAGTAGCGCATCTTAAGCTTTGCCTAAATTCCTCGAAATCTCGAGAACCGCTTATCAGAACGTATTGATGTGGGGTCGGAAAATGTAGCTGACGATGAGATCTAGTGAGGGATTTGAGTGTTGAGCTTCTGCAAAAGCTTGGAAACTGTAAAATAGTCACCAACTCGGCTCGCTTGGGTGCACTACTATTAGAGAAAATACGGTAATTCAAAGAGCTAGTTTTGGATTTGTATTGTGGCTCATCATTGTGGCTACTTTGAAGCATTCCTTGTAGCTGTTTTGCGTCAGTGATTTCCCTCTCCCATCCCAAGACAAAATCATCCCTATTAAAACGAATACCAGGCTGGCTTGAATTGTTTCTTATTGCTATTAACAAGAAAAAGCAATTAATAGTACCCAGTTTTCCCTTACTTGTTACCCGCTCAAGTTCCAAATCTCTTCCAAATTCCAGGACATGTCTTTGAGATGCCTGCAAAAGACCGCATTTTGTTTATTCTTCACATTCTTCGTCGTTTTCATCGTGTTGTTGCGGGCTAGAAAATGTTAGTCTTTTTCATTGTTGAAAATATTCAGCACTGTAAGAGCACTGCAAGAGAAATATTCTGAATTATATCAGAAATAATTCCTAGACACTTATAGCCAATAAAATGAGGCCAATTTCAGCCATTTAGCATTTTATCGCAGATTAATCGGGGTTGAGTAAGAGCAAGTAAAAGAGCAAATTTAACATTGAAGCATTCAAGCAATAAGCAATTTAATAAGATTAATGGAGTTAAAATTTGCTAATAGTAAGATCCCAAAGATCCTTGCAATCCCAAATTCTATAACTCCTAAAATCAAGCTTTCAAAACTCTTTTAAACATTCTCTTTCTTCCCAAAGCTTTGTTAAATTTTGATTCAACTGTTTTCCGCTTATCCACAAGCTTTCTCTAAATAATATCCTTTAAGAAATCTATCTTTCAACCCAACTTACAATAACTTTAGGAAAATGAGCGAAAACGCGATGAGAAGCTTGTCCTTTTGTGCATTTTTCTCGTAATCTCCTGCTTCGTGATTGCGGTGATATTTGGTCAAACCAAGCTTTGATGGAACGGTGTATAGAGAACCCTTTAGTTAGGTTAGTAACTGTTTGTAAATAATGTTAAATTCTAAAACGAGGAGAATGAGCAGAATTGAGAAGTGACTTTGGCATAATTTGGGAATTCCTCAAAGCAAAAAATCCAAAAATGACGCAAAGCATACAGTAGAACCAAAAAATGAAGCCACAAAAAGAGCCGCAAAAAGCCTTGAGCCACAAAAAGTCCCTTGTCACCTATAGAATAGCTTGAGCTTTCTAAAAACTATTGTTTTAGATCAAGACACATTTTCAGGAAGCTGAGCGACAGTGCCTTATGTGGATGCGAGCTTGCGGTTGGGCAATCGGGCTAATCATTGTCGTGATCGGCTTCGTCATTTTGAACAGCGATCGGAAAAAATATTAGAAATTGGTGATTATGGATAGGTTTAGTCTAAACTTATGAATTCAAAGAACATCTTATTCCAATGATCGATTAAGCCTTTTCCTTGTTTTCTTATTTCTTGTTTGCTCTCCAAAACTTACGGGTTACTTTTCCTCCTTTCTTACTCTCATGTTAGCATTTTGACTTTTGATTTGAATAAAAGTTTATCTTTTTGCTGACTAGTGTGAAAGATTATCCATTCATTCAATCAACTACAAACATCCAAAGTGTAAAGTGACTAGAGTATTCTCAAATTTGAAAACAAAATGATCTATATAGAGATAGAGATTCGATATTTAATACCCTCTACAAGATACATCTATTATCTTTTTAAAACACAGCATTTTTGATGCATTTCAAATCACGCAAAGTGTGGCGAATAGCCACTAAAATAGCCACTCATCCTTGTTCTTTATGATTTGAACTCAATAAATCTTTTTAATTAATAAACTAATAACTAACTAAACTAATTAAATCCAAGGCAGTCAGCTTTTAGAAGGGGCACGCTTCTTTGTATTGGGTTGGTGAATTGAAAACTGCGGGACTTTGAACTAAAATTTATTCAACGTAAAACCATGAATTCATTCCAAATAATTTCCATTATTATTGACGACTTCTGCCCATTTTACAGGCAATTTGCGGATTCCTCTTTCGTAGTAGGATTTTGGTTTGTGTGTGAGACAAGTGTGAGACTCAAGAATGGAGGACTGGAGATGTGAGCTGTCAGCCCAGTTGAGCACTTTCTTCAAAAGAAACCCATTTTGGTGTCAATAGAAAAGTTGTAGAGAATCAAAAATTAGGCTTATGGCCAAATTTCCCAAAAGCTACACTTAGTAGTTTCGCTTAAAATGCAAGTTTTGTGAAAATTCGTAAATTTGGCATTTCTTGAAAACCAGTTTTTGAATCGTTCTGAAAATTTGGATATAAGCTTCATTTTTGATTCTCTACAACTTTTCCATTGGCACCAAAATGGGTTTCTTTTGAAGAAAGTGCTCAAACTGTCACATATGACAATAGCCGGCAGTTTTCGATTCACCAACCCAATA